TGTTCATGCGTATGAAAATGCAATAAATCTTATTAGAAGACATCGATCATATCCAATGACATCGATGATTTCGATTGTTAAGAAACATTTAATTGACTATTTCAACACAATCAATGATCTAGATACAATGATTATTATCTATGAAAAACTATGCGAAATTATTCAACAAGAAACAACTGATATTACAGTTTTATATAATCGTTTTAAACAAATTTTAAAATTATTAGTTAAAAAATATGATGCATTTAGTGTAGTTCTAAAGGCTTATGATGCTTGTCTCGATTTAATTTTACAAATAATCAGTCCACTAACCTCACAAATGACAGTAGTTTTCACTCATTTTCGATATCATTTTGTTAATGCATATAAAGAATCCAATATGATATGTTCTGCAATTGAAATTTATCAGAAATTAATATGTCTTCTATTAAAACATCAATATGATACAATGAAAATTATTAACGAATATAAAATTATTGGTGCTGGATTTACAAAAAAACATCTGTTAAAAGATTCAGTCATAGCATATGGACTTTTATTGAATTTTATATGTCAACATCATTCGACTGGTGGTTTTATCGAAAATGATTTAATTAGATTTGTTTTTTATATCTGGGAAAGTGAAATTATTGGAAAGTATTTGATGGTAAAGGATTTCGATGCAGCCATCAATTTATATTGTGAAATGATTCATTTTCTCAAAGAATATTGCACAAATGTGAATAAGAATTATGATCTAAATGCGTTTGTATCGAACATACTGAAAAATTATGATGAAATAATTAAAATCTATCAGCTAATGAATATCGATCTGGAACAAATAATGAATATTTATCAAAAACAGATTGAATTTCTAGCAAAATATCGAGTTGTAACTGTTCATGAACATATTAAGATAATCATTTCAAAATGTCGACAATTCGCTACGGATCACAAAAAACAAGCGATAGAATTATACTCAAAACTAATTCTTTTCATTCAAAACAATCGTCTTAACTATTTAACTCATTTAGCAATTGCCTCTAATGATTTCGTTCAATTAAGTATTGCCAATGACAAACCAGAATCACAACACCTATATTTCACGAATCAAATTAACACTAACTGTTACTCGACAAATCAATATCGTATTGCAGATCTTCAACATCGTGTCTTAGATTATAAAGAAAAAGCAAAAAATTATTTAAATAATAAACAATTACATAAGGCAATAGCAGTTTTTAGAGATGAACTTTTACCATTTCTTTTGGAAAATCATGCACAAGATGATGAACAAATTGCTATGTGTTACAAACAAATAGCATTATTGTTTTACAGACAGAATGAAGATGGTGCTCGACAAGCACTAGACTATTATGAAAAAGTTATTGATATTTATGAAACACAAAAGGATGAATTTTATACAGAATATACATTTAAATTAAATCCTAATATTTGTCAACGTTATGCAGGAACACTTTTTATGTGTTATAATTCCATGATGGAAATTTATATCGCTCTAAAAAATCAAAACTTGGTCGAGATGTATGGACAAAAAGCAAATTATATCTATGAAAAATATAGAGATCAATTTCAATTTTCTGTCAACCCTATAACGCATGTTATTACAATAAAAATACGTCCGATGGTTGAATTAAATTATTGACATTGACTTTATCATTTAATAAAAAACGTTCTAACACAAGTTTTTAACTATATTAATCATCTATGATTCTAAGAAAAAAAAGCATCTATTAGAAATTATCTTTACTATGCATTACAGATGGTGCACATCAGACCTCTGCGGGACAATCAAAAAGTCGTCTCGTCTCGTAGTCTTTTCGTATCCTGCCACTGATCATTTTTTTCTAAGTTCTTCCCATTTTTCAATAACTATCTCGTCTTGATTATTGGTAAGGTATGCTTGGAGAGTTTTTTTTTCTCAATTTTCAATAATACTTCAATCATTCAAGGAACATCCAAAGTTGGGAATAGAAGTGTTGAGGATAGAGTTAATGAAAATCTTCCACTCAAATAATTATTTGAGCTAGTAGTCGTGACTATTTAAACTCAACCAACTTGTTTCAAGCCACTTCTTTCGAACTATTGATCAAATATTTTAATCAGAAAACTCATGACTTTGGTTACAGCACTGAAAGCAATGATTAGGATAGTGATCGTTTGATAGATTAGGTTTATGAAGTGTTGAAAGAATCTATGAAATTTGATTGAACTGAACTTATATTCTACGCTAAATTTAGAACAATTATGGTAGCTTTTGCTTCAACATAGTGGCAGCAACTTCATGAGTACATGACTGGATATTGCCAGTATATACTTTGAAATTATGGGAACTCTCAAATAATTGTCAGATGCTTATTTTACTAGCAACTATAAAAATAATCGTATCCTGAGGAGCGCTGGTACACACGTTAACTGTACCTAAACATTGTTTATATGATACCGCATCAAGACATATGGTCACTCAAAAATGACTTAGGTTTTAAAACAAATAACGCTCGCTGCCACGACTCGCTTGATCCTCGACTGGATCCGACCTAAACATCATCGTTCGCCCTTCGCTGAATTCAGTTGTTGAGAATTATTGCTCAACATACACGGCCATACAAAAGAGCTGTTTATAATATTGTTAGTGATGACCATTTTATGAAAAAAATCAAAACTTTCTATTGAGATTTTCTAATGTGACCCATAAGAGATAGATCGTAGTCAGTCGTTGGCGTTCCTCCGAGTTATCACTCCCTACTACTAGGCTTCGCGCATGCTCCAGATATAATTCAAAGTGCTGATTCATTGTTTTGTTCAAGAAACTTTAAGTAGTACCTAAGAAACCTATAAAAATGCGCTTCTTATAACACATGTTGACTATCAACTGGCTGTAGTCAATATAATAATAAGATTAATAAATTTAAAGCACCACAATCTCTCTTCCGGTTAATTCGTTTCTCATAGCCTACACGTGGTCATTAGAATATTGTTGTATGAGGTCTTTTTTTAAATAACTACTTGAAGCATTCTGCAATTCTCGTCCTTCATATTCTCTGAAACAATAAATGACATGTCTTCCTTTGACAGGTATGATCTATGCGAACAAGCATTGTCGTAGGCAACAGAGATTTCAATGTGTTTTTTTGTTCGACACTCTTGCGATTGAGACTCATTAAATAGTTAATATACAGGTAACGCTCATTCTATGGATTCGCTGACCCTCTTTTGAGATATATGAAGATGTTGCTGTACTTTAAGAAGGATATGTTGGTCGAAATCTTATCATATTTATTTGATCGATTATGTTGTTGTTTGTCCCTCACAATAACGCACATTTTCATGTAAGCTCTTCTTCAGTTTGACGCGACAAATTCAGTTTCAGGTCAGTTATAATAGTTATTCTCGATTCGTAATTGATGTAGACTAGGAAGGTATAGAACTTAACAACTAAAAGAAACACAATAGATGTCCAACAAATCAAATCTGAACTGTGATTCCTGCTAAATTTCGGGAAAAGAGATGATTCATATTGAAATATTTCAATTTCGCTTGCATTGTAGTATATTTCTTTGGAACTCAATAGCTTTGAATTCATCCATCTTTCTGAACAAAAAGATCATAAGATAATCTGACAAAATATTAGGACTTTCGTACTATTATGATTGAATTAGAAATAAGTTGATATTATTTATGCATGAGAGTTACCATCAATCTGGTTTTTGCAGTAATTATCCTTTACGTTTCAACCATGAAAGATGTGCCTTTTTTTAAATCTAAATTGACACTAGCTTAAAACAAATTTCTAAGAGATTTTTTCTATCGAATGTACTTTCTACATGTTTTACTTCTGTAGAAAACTGTTTTACAGATTTGATTAGGAAAAATAATTTTTCATTCTTGTACCACTTTCGGACAATGCTTCAACCGATCGAGCCCAGTCGGTAGAGAACTTTTCTTTAGTTTATTTTTTCTCATATATCATTCATTTTTATCTGAAATCTAGCCAAGTAACACTTTGCCTTCTTGCACAAATATTATTGGATGATCAGTAACAACATTCTCGATTTAAAATTTAAAATACTAGAACTATTCAGAAATTATCTATAGATAAGAGTATGCTGCATCGACTCGGATAAAATTTCAGTGTGAATAAGCACATGATTGTTCAACTCAAACAAAGAAAAGGCTAACACTGACTAGACATGCATAGTGAGCTTATTAGCCAGATTCATTTGGGAACATGAAAAATCTGATGACTTCAAAGTTATATTCGAAAAAAAAGTAATTTGGTGAAATTCCAGCACCAAAAAATCTAATTGAACACAAGATAAATAGCCAAAACATTTGATTGATTGAATTCTCGGTATGAAAAGTCTTGATTCTTAAAAAGTCATTATAAGACCTCACAACTGCGTGTATACGTGACTTTACACGTGTGTGCAAACATACGAGTATACACACAGACGAACTCATTTTATTTCGTATGACCCTGCCGCCTACAGTCAAGGGAATAAAGCACTATTTTGTGTTTAAAATTGCTCAGCACAGATTAGAATTTCAACTGTGATAGTGTTTCTGATTAAAATTAAACAACAGAGTGCATTAAGTTTCGTCACATTTTGTTAATATATGTACCAGTTGCATTTCAGATTGACAGGGATAATAGATTTGTTGTTATTTCACTTGACAAAAAAAAAACATTTTTTTTTATTAAATATTTCGACATTGATGATACTATTAATTATGAAAAACGAAGGATATATTCAATTTATCAAATAATGGAACTTCTGCATATGTTCTTTACTAGCTATATCAAATCACATTTGATTCTAACAAAGAATGTCTTCATATAAATCATTAAAAAGAAAGTTTGATGCCACGCTCTACAATTTTAATCTCATCAGTAGTTTTTGCGAAGATGAAAAAGAGATTTCAATTAACAGTATATTTTATTTCCTGAATAAGAATAAAATACAGAAAGTCACGTATATGTTGTAATATTGTACATATGACTAATTTAATCCTTCTTCTTCACCAAAACGTGGTTCATCATCATCATCATCAGTTGTTGATGTAAAAGTTCCACGTCTAGGATTTAGATCCGGAGAATGTATTTGATCGTATTTTACATCAGTTGCTGTTTGATATCTATGCCATTGATTTTCGTCATGATACCATACGGATTGATCTCGTTTAACAGCAAACAATTGTGGTCCCTCCTTAGTAATTGTTTTATAATATTTTGCACCTGGTAGACCGTCTCCTTGTCGATTAAATTCAAGTTTCAGATCCAGCCACGAACATTCAATCCCTGTGGGTGTTTTAGGTGCTCGATCTTTGGTAGCAACATATGAAAATGTGCATGTGTCGTAATCCATAGTAGAAGGAAAGAGAATATAAACGTACGCTGTGTTGTCTAAGCTGTTACTTTTGCATGTTGTGTGTGTGTGCTTTTTTCTAACGTTCTTTTACTTCCTATGTTACATATACGTGGTGAAATTTAAACATTGGAAGAAGACAAGTGCTGAGTAATAAAATCCAAACAACATACTGAAATTTTCCAAGTGTATATTGGAATAAAAATACAAAACGTAAATAATTCTCATAAGATGGGGTGTGAGTGTGGGTGTCGATGTGAATATCAGTGAAGACAATACCCACATCCAAAATCGGCTAAAATCAATAAAATTCTGATTATCATCTGCCATAATCGATTAGATTCTAGAATCAATAATAATCATTATTCAAAGAATCGGTTAAAATCAAGTGAGGCTAATTATTATCTACTAGAATCGATTATAATCATTAGACTACGAATCATCGAAAATCGACTAATACTGGTTTTAATCGGGCACAATTGATTACGTTCTTTATTTTCAAAAGATGTAGTTTCGATAGATATTTATTCATATATACTTTTAATCTCAAACAAGCTCAACACTTTTAATGAAAAAAGTCAATTGCAAAATAAAAACTAATTAAAATTGCATGATGCTTATTACATCAGGATTTTTTAATGCCATCGACTATAGCAATCATATTCTCTTTGAAGTAATGATCTATATGCAGCAATTTCTTCGTTTAATATGTTTTGTTCTTATATTCATTGGTGTAGATACATTTTTTTTTATAGATTGAATTAAGAAATTTTATTATTGATGATGCTGTTGATTGTTCAGATTTACGTTTCATATCTAATTTTAATTGTATTTGAATAAAATCTTGTTCATTAATAATTCTCTCGGTAATATGTTGTTCCTGTGATTCAATAATATCGGATTCAGTTGTTCACTTTTTGGTCTTGTTAAGGTTCGCCTGTCGAAAGTCACAATTTTCATCAAAAAAAAAACTTGATTGCGAGATTTTTATGTGATTGAATAGCCCTCGCATTGTCTACTTTCGAAAACAGTACGATTTATCGAAATTTTGATACTTTTTTACGGCTTTACACAAGGATTGCTGATGATGTTGAAATAAAGAAAAAAATCTTTGTTTTTTTTTGAAAATGTTAATTGTTGTTGCCTTTTGAATTTTTTCTAAGATTGCTCTTAGTGGAGAATTCAGCAAAAATGTGTGAAATAACTAGGAAACATTGCAAACGTTTGAACAAGTTGAGTCGTATACCGTATGTCTTTCCTACTACTGTTCATTTAATTATGTAATTATTTCGACAGTGTTATGTTAAAATAGACGCATTTTGCCGTAAATATGCGTTCTCTTTCCTTTCTTTTGATCTTTTGTCTTTGTAAGAAGTTGCTATTGTTGGTGTGGCTGTGAATGAGTAGGACTGTTTGCGGACAGGTGACATGAATAATCACATGCACATCTCATATGTTTTTCTATCTCAGATTCAAATTTTTAGACGCTATACAAGTATACACAAATCTTTGTTTGATCCGTCATAATTGATAACACATGTTAGACTACGATTGATGTATTTTCTCTATCGTTTTACTAAACAGAAGGATTGATTTTCAATTGCAAACTTTATTTGATATGTTTCTCAAAACAAAGTTTTTTATTTTTTATTTTTTTGAATTATGCATCGTAGATTGCTCAGCCATTTTACGCTCTAGAAAGTTCAGAATGGTTTTAAATTGAAGAGAAAATAATGCTCCACAATTTCACATAGATGGAATTTTTTTCATTTTTGACGTCAACTCAAGATTTGCATCATTATACTTGGAAAGAAATCTAGGATGCACGAAGACCTACTTTTTGATCTTTAATATAGGAATAGCTGTTGAACAACTCAATATTTTAGACTGAAATTTTCAACTAGATCAGTTGTTTTGGGATGAAAATGGGTTTCTAATAGAGAAAGAAGCTTAAATTAAATAATATATTTCACTTTTTGATAAATATTCAAGTTTAGTAAGTTCAATTTTAAATAAACTTTTTAATCAATATAATTAATAATTCTCAACATCTTATAAATAATCATTAGATTTAAATGCTGTTTGAAGAGTAAATCGAGTTACATGATAGATATTTTTTTATAATTTATTGCAGTTTAGGAAGATCACTACACATCATTGATAAAAGGCTTCTTTCCTGCTTTTGAACAACATCTTCCAATCGTACAAAATTGTTATTCTTTCCCAAGAGAGCTGAAATTCGCCTTTTCACAAGCTATTAGGGGAAAGATGGGTCTGGCTGTTGTGTGTTTACTTTTTTCTTCTTTTATTTTTCACTGCTCGTATTCTCATGTTATACTCTAATATCACCGAGACAGCAATGTAATGGTATTACAGAACGAAACCAAAGAATAATCTCCCTTCGCATGGAATCGAACCATGCATCTCCTGCTTTCCGGACAGTCGTATTAACCACTGTACTGGAGAGGAGTGTATCTTATTCTGTTTGTTTCGTCTTATGAATGAAGGAGAACACTTCAATTCATAACACCTCTCTTCTACACGGAAAACACGTGTAGTGCCACCAGAGAGAGAGAGAGAGCTGCATGTTGCTTTCCGGCCAATGCACCAAATGTTAAATTTCCTTTATTCATTCTTTTTTTTCACACATGCATAATCGAGAGAACACTCTTTACACGGGCAAAACACATGTATATATATCGAAAAAAATATAAAAATTCCAAAAGAGAAAGAAAAAGAACAAGAAAAAAAACAAAAGAATAATCAGAATCAGAATGTATCATAAGACCAGGCATACAGAATCTATCCGTATGCGCGAACGATCGTTCGAGGAAATTTTTAAAAATGTAGTAGCATCGAGGAAATTTTTTTGAAAACTTAATAGCATCTGAGGAAATTTTTTGATAAGTATTTTCTCTCATGAGGGAAATTTTTCAATGAATCCCAGTTTATTTATGTATACATCGATAAGACCCTTTTACTTTTCTTTTGAATAAACTTCTAAAAGACTCATCCGTGTCTCTATCGTAGTGTCAATATCGCCTACCTTTGTTTACGTTCATCATGCATCTTGCCATTTCTTTCACTCTGTCTCTTCGTGTCTATTCTTGATACAGCACGCACTGTTTATGTTCTCTTCTTTTCTTTCTATAATTCTGCCTAATGGAATGCCACTACTTACTGTTTTTTCTCTGTTATTACATACAGGTGCTATTGTATGTGCGTATGCGTACACAACCATTAGGATGACTAATATATGATCATCAGCAACCGAACTAAACCTTTGTTTTTGGTTGGAGTTTAGTTCAATTCGGATTTACTTTCGGAAAATTATTTCGAGTTCGGCTCAGTTCGACTTCGTTTTTGAAAAGCGGTTCGAGTGTAGTTGTATTCTAGTAATCCTAGTTCCATGGAATCAGGAGGGTACGATAGGTGGAAATTTGACTCTGAGATGATTAGCGTGTTATTTTGGAGTTGATATCGGTGTAAATAAATACTTATTGCAAACTCACTCAATAATTATTTTACCCGAATGAAAGATAGACAATGATTGTTTCATATAAAAAAATGAACAATATCAAGTTTAGAAACTTGTTTCTCCTATTTCAATTAGTTTAAATCGTTTACGAAAAGTACAAGTAATCTGATTACCTGAATCAAACGATATTAAATAGTAGCATTTTTTTAATGTGTATATGCAATGTGTTAAATAGTGGTAGTCGTTTTTTTTTTTTGAATAAATATCTTCAACAAGAAAACTCATTTTTTTAATTGAATTTTATAGTGAGGAAAATTTTTTATTTTACCGGCAGATTCGGCACGCCTGCATAAGACACAAAGCACATGAAACAGAGTGAATCACAAGACAAGCAGACTACACAATTACACAAGTAAGAAAGGATAAATGAGTATCTCAAGATGTATCATGGCCAGTGACCATGACACTGGCTTTGTCAAAAATCATAGCACGTCCTCCTTCCTAATGTTGAGTGCTTTAAGCCATTACTGCTGATCACTTTACCTTCAGTTCTGAGTGGCGCCTCTAGTTTTTTGTATTTTCTTTAATCAATTTAATTAAAACTTCTTGTTATTATGAAATGATAAAGTTGAACAGCGAACGATCAAATCGATGACTCTTCCTCCAATGTAATTTCTAATCTTATTTCAATCATACTGCTAAATAAATAAAAATTGATGCCATCTACAAATTGTAGACAACTCTGCATACATGGAATATTTGTTCCATAATTAAGATTTACATCTTCTACAATTTTTTAACGAAATATTTCAATTTTTTTCCTGAAGTATGTTGATTTTCGTAATATCTTCCGAAATAAATTACTTATTTGTTTATAAGAATAATCTCTTTTGTTCAAAGGACACCCAACCGACCATCCGATAGGCATTTCGACACGTCGATTTAAGGTTACTGTGGGCATCGAAATTTCAAATGGGTCCATCGGATTCTCACTTTCCGGTAGGTCAAAGGCTCGGCGATAGGTCAGTCAAATTGCTAACAGTTTTCGAAAATCAAAAAAACTTTTTAATCGAATAAAAATACCTTTTGCGTGTCTCTAACCACAGAAAAGGTTGTTTTTGGAGTCTCAGATACCATATAAGGGGTTTATTTGATAACTAAATGATTTGTGTGATTAAGAATAAAATTAATATTAAAAAAACTTTTCAAAGATTCAAAATGCAAAATATGTTATAGCTGTGTATTTCGTCAAAAACGCTTATGAATATTGGTCTTACTTGTTATTTTTCATCAGTTAATGTTAAATATTTTTTAGAAAACTATGAAATAAAGGAAAATATATGTTGCACATAAATCATCCTACTAAAGTAGCTGAATGAAAGAAACATTTATAAATTATTTTTTTGAAGAAACTTTATGAAATAAAATCAACCTCACCACTTGATTAACTGTTATTCTGCTAGACTTGTTTCTATTGGAGCGCATTCAATATTATGCTTCTAATATGTGTATTTTCTCGAGCACTCGAAACTTCGATGAGTATCGAGGGATGTAAAATTGCTTGAGGAGTCGAAAATAAATATCTGATAGGATACAGTTTTCGAGTGGTCGGAATCCGATGACTGCCGAGTAGTTCGAAATCAGAACAGAACGAACAAAAAAATATACATTTCAAATTTTCGAGCGCTTGTCGCATCCACCGTATACTTCTTAAAGTCTGCTTCGGTAAATACAAACTGGAATACTTGAAAAAAATATGTCGAACAAGGTATTTTAAAAATTAAAAATTCTTTTAATTCAATCACATTTTTCTCAAATAAATTTTTGAAAAACTCGATCATTTTATATGAAATTAATAGTCTTTTCAATTTTATTACCAATCGAAAATCCAAAATTTCATGATAGAAAAAAGAACCTTGGCTATCAGAAGAGAAAACAAATCTAGAAAGAAAGTATGCCATAATATTAACTCGTCGGTATTACAGTATTTATAGTCAAGCAGAAAGAAAAAAAGCACAGAAAAAAACGTACTCATATAATTTTTGTCTTTTTAATATGCTCACTTTCTCAAGCAATACTAATAAGTTAAAAGCCTTACAAAATGAACTTAGTTTTTCATCCTATTAAAAAATTCAAAGGTAAAAATATCATTATAAAAATTTTCTTTACCTTTAAAAGCTTAATATCTTGTAGATTACATTTTATTTATTGGTTTTCATCGTTTAATTCTATGTTTCATTACTCTATTATTTCTTTTTTCTACTTTTGGTCTATCTCAATTTCAATCACCGCAGTTTATCACATCGACATATAAATATATAAATAAAACATTAAATTCTATTCTTCAAAGAAATCAAATATCTCAATTAGCTAAAATTATTGTTGTATCACATTTTAATGAAAATTTAGATTGGCTCGATTTACTTGTTGATGATCAAATTTCATGTATTGTTTATACACGATCATCTAAACCATTACCATACCAACATAAGTTTGTAATTAATAAAGGCAGAGAAGCTGTAGTCTATCTTCAATATATTGTTGATCATTATTCAAATTTACCCTTATCAATAGCTTTTGTTCATGCACATCGTACATCTTGGCATCAAAAAAATCCATCAGATATTGTTATTGCATTACAAGCATTACAATGGAATAAATATAATTATATGCCATTAACTAGTGAAAAGACTCGTTATGAATTTAAACCGATTTCAGTCGATCCTCAAGTAAAAGTTAATTATGAATTATGGCAAGCTGTTTTACAAAAAGAACTTGGTCCTCCACCAGAAAATGGAATAAACGCACATTGTTGTGCAACATTTGTTGTTAAAAGAGAAGCTATTCTTGCTCATCCAAAAATATTTTACTCAAATATCATGAATTATATTCTTGCTAGTTCATATTCGGATCAATTGACAGGTAGAACACTTGAATATACTTGGCATATGATCTTTGGTCAACCAGCACATATTAACTATAGAACATGTGATATATTTATATGTGATTCAAACGGAATGGTTTCTGTTCCATTGGATAGAAAAAAAAAACTCAATAATTAACTTTTATTAGTATACATGCTTCAAAGTGTTTATCATAAGTTATGTGATCAAAGAACTGTCAGGTGTAGGTATATTGAAATGATAGAATATACAAAAATATATTGATGACAAACTTCATATATTAAAAATAAGATGTTGTCAACGATGACATTTTCTCGGATAGAATTGTTTGAGGAATATGCCATTCATAGGCATGATGAGATTAAATTTATATTTGGATTTATCCAAGTTGAAACTGCTTTCACATAAAAATGTTCTCATATTTCTACTAAGCTCTTTACTTTTTTTTTTAATATCAAAATGAATAATGAGGTCATAAAAAAAAATAATAAGCTGTATGTCATGAAAGAAAACAATTATATTGGGTCGATTCTGGTGCAAGAACTATGAAACTTGTGTGAAAAATCTTTTTTGTTTTGTATGACTCAGATAAAGATTTTGAAAATTATTGCAAAAACAAATTTCTAAATTTGAAGTATCTATGTTCGTATTTTTCGGTTTTTGATATTTCGTTATCAAATAGAAATGAATTGATTTTTACATTTTTCTTTGGTCATACATGATTACTAATAAAAATTAAACTTTACAAAAAGTAAGTTCATCTTTCATAATATGTATTAGTTGTTTGCTCTATGATTAAGCATTATTCTTGAAATATATTTACCTACAGATTGAAAGCAATATTATTGTAATGTTGTGTAAAATAAAAATATGTAAAATAATCAAATTTGAAAGTGTTAATGATTCTTTATGCATTCGAATGAAATGGTACATATTACAACATGTGTATAGAATGATAATAATAATAATAAGCGATGCAAAAGTCTTTGAAAAAATGTCAAATTCTATTTGATCATATTGTCGACTTCTAAACCAATCAAATTTTTTTTTTGTTAGAAAGAGCAATGTTTGAACTAAAAATATTTTAGGAGACAGATTTTTCCAAAACAAATCTGCGAAGAAGGAAAAGCCAAAAATCAAACACCTCCCATGTGTTCAATTGCGGTCAAATTGCGATCGCACTGTAACCCGTAATTGCGAAAAAACGGCGATTTTTTTATCGGGTGTGGATGTGAGTACGTGTCAAGGAAACCACACCCACCCAACACAGAAAATTGGCCCTAACTTTTCAAGAAAGAGCTCTCAGCCCAAATCCTTTTATGCTGTCCACTATCTCGATATCCTCTATCAAACGACGTATAAATGAAGGGAATCGGTATTGGACACCTCGGACGATTCCCTCGTAAGATCTGACTAATTGCGACTATGTAATGACTACTTATAATTGGCTGGTATTGGATATATTGAATCATATGATATGAAACTGCGACGTAGTAGCAGTAATTTCTGACAAAGGTTTAATTACGATCAATGAGATGCAGAATTGTTTCTACGCGTAATTGCGACGTAGTCATTAGAAAAGATGCGACATGAGCTCTAAAAAAGTTCTTGCAACTTCATCATTAAACAATATCATTTTCTATTTTCTGTTAGCTCTTTTATATGAGAATAGAAATGAAAAAAGCACGTTCAATGATGATTTTTGTAGCACAAACGAGTGCTCTTTCCAATGACGTATTGCAAATTGAAATTATTCTAGATTTTTATATCAATAAATAGCTTTTTCTAAAAGAAACTGAGTAATCTGGTTATTCTCACTACTTGACTGTCTTATAGTAATAAAAAAAAATTTTTTCTGCTAAAATTCGACAATTAGATATATTCGATGTATTTTGTTTTATTCAATGTTGACCCGAATAATTGAGAAATACAGATTTTTCAAGTAGCAAAAGCGTTGCAAGACCTTTTTTTAGAAGTGTTTTGTTTTTAAATTTTCTTCGTTCACAGATTTATTCTGGAAAAATATGCCTCCTAGAAAATTTATAGCTCAGACATTGCTCTTTCTAACACAAAAAAAAATTTGAGTGATTCAGAAATCGACAATATGATCTAACAGAGTTTGACATTTGTCCGAAGACTTTTGCATCGCTTATTAATTTATGGATTATTACACGTTGATTCTATGAAAGAATTTATACGTCTATAATTACTTATAACTCGATCTTCAATAAAAACAAAAAAAAAAAAATAAATAATAAATGGCACGTAAAAGTTCATGAGTTTTCTTGTTTTTTCTAATATGCGTTAATTATAAAAGACATCGCACGTACATCTTCCTATATTATATATT